AATATACTAACGCTGGAGAAGCTCTCGTATGTATTTCTTATCTTGGAAATCTGATCTTGCTGCCAAAGTCTTGTCGGGGTGTTAATTTACTGTGAATAAATTGTCTGGCAGTAATCTTGTGTCTGCGTGCCTCCTCGTATGGAGGGGGGGGGGTCAGGACAGGTCACTATATGAACTGCTGTTAAGACAAAGACTACCTGTAGTTTCCTTCATTGTATAAAAGAACATCCTTGTATAGATAGATCCCATTTATAAATAACTTCATGGACTCCTAAACTATAGTAAAAGTCAACAAGATAATGTCTATACCACTTCCAGATATTGTTCATGAAATTTCTTTAAAAAATGAAATGAAAGTGCTTGTGTTAACACTAACTAACACTGATGGTGTTACCTAGTTTAGGTAATGAAATGTCTACAAGAAAGTAACCAAGCTCGAGGAGTCCTCATTTCAACACTGAGCTACAAATATTCTCCTTTAAGGCTGTAATTTTTGAACTCCTTAATTATTTGTTAATTTTTATTTTCTGGCTTCATACTTCTTGACAGCATAAAACAATGGCAATTCACACTTGAAATGTTTGCCCACACTTGATTTATATACGTAGTAAAGAGTACGGGAAGGCAATATTGTTCATAGGAGTAAGATGTTTTATATTTAGGTCAATAGAAATCCCTACAAAAGCCCAAATGTTAACACTCGTTTCACAAAGCCTTAACATTCAGAACAACTTTTTCAAACACATAAGTAGTTTTCAATTAAAGACTACAATTCTGCCTGGAACTAATATAAAGTGTCATAAATCTTACATATTTGATGTATTTTTTAAAAATCAATTACTGCCTTGCACAGTGTACTTTATATTAAGTTACCCTTCTTTTAGATGCAATGGCTCATTCATGACACTTGGTTCTTTACTTTCCGTGGAAGACACTTCATCTAAAAACTGAATATGGAGAATATATTAGAATAATAGGACTTATTTTCCCAATTTTACCCAGAATCTTAAAAATTAAAATTTAGAACATTAAAATACCCTTATTTTAAAATAAAATAAACATTTTAATAGTTTTAAAGTTTTTCTACATTTTTCCTTTGCATTTAATTATGTATTTATTTTTAAAACATTTCTCCCAAGTATTTTACTAAAACAAGTGGAATTTTAAATGTAACACGTAGAGACAAACCTCTGCTGGACAATTTAGATTTAATCTGTGACTCACAGAAAAAATAAATATGATAAAACTTTCTAATTTTGCAGGAGAGCTAGGAAAACACTTTTTGAGAAAGTCAAATATGTATAAAGGAAACAATACCTTTTTTACTATTTTAATGCATTCTTCTTCTTGAAACATTTTGAAAAATTCACACATAAATGTCTCCTTGAAGCTTGACTAGAAAGGGAAAATAGATAGAAGTAAATCTTTTATAGAGAGATGCCAGTAGACTAAACTAATTTCAGTGTGATACTTACCAGCTTATTTTTGGATAAACTTCCCCAGCTTCCCAGTGTCTGAATTGCTTTTGATATAAGAGTTAATGTTCTAGATGTTTGTGCATCCTATAAGAGGCATTTAAAGAAACACATTCACTATTTTACAAGTGATAGTTCAACTGGGTTGTATACATGTTGTCCTTGACTAACAACCATTCAGTGATGTTTCAAAGTTACAATGGCACTGAAAAAAAGTGCCTTATGACCATTTTTCACACCTACTAAGTCGCAGCATCCCCAGACATATGGCCAAAATTCAGATGCTTGGAAATTGCCATGTACTTATGATGGCTGCAGTGTCCCAGGGTCACGTGATCACTTTTTACAATCTTCTGACAAGGTAAGAGAAAGGGGGAGCCAGATTCACTTGGCAACCATGTTACATCAGCATATAAAACATACATTTTCTGCAACTATAAAGGTTTCATGGGCATTCACATAAGCATTGTAATATTGAAACAAGAATTGTTTTTCTTCAGATGTAAAGAAGTTGGTCTTAACTGCACAGCAGCCAATACAGTTACATCCAGGGTAATTTTGCCTAAAATAATAAGAAATATTTGTTCATGTGTTTTGGAAAGTTCCTCAATCTTTTGGAGAAAGTATTTTTGGCAAGAATTAAGAACATAGAAAATAGCTTTAATTAATTAATTAGTGGGCAAAGGATTTTATAATCCTCCTATAATTCTATAAATCTCGATTTAAATTAATCCTTTAGTAATGACAACGTAAGTTTCAATTTTACTTTAATGAAGAATGAGACCTAAGTCTGAAAAAGATGAATTGATAGGCAATGTCCAAAAAACAGAGAACCAAGTGTGATATAGTGGTTAAATGTTGAGGTGGCACTGGCAAAGTCTAGGTCCACTATGACTCATGGAAATTCACTAGGCGATTTTTGGCCATGCACTATCTCTAAATCCAGCCCACTGAGAAGGTAGTGATTGTGGTTGGGGGTGGGGGGAAATGAGAGGAACGAATACTGTATGTAATATCTTGAGCTGCTGAGTGAAAGGAGGAATAAAGTGGATATGAGAAGTGGGGTGTAGCTGAGAAAACACTGGCCTAAAAATTTGGAAGAAAAATTGTGCAAATTCCACATGTACTATTTGGTGTTTTCTAAAGGAAAAAAATGCATCTTCAGTGCCAAAATAAGCAAGAAAAATTATCACATTTTTTGCCAAAATGCTTAACTTCTTGGTCCAGTGGAAGATTTGCACATAAATACGTTGTAGAAATTATGCACCTAAAAGAATCATATACCAATAATTCAGGAAGAAAAAAAAATAGACATCTTCCTACAATATTACTGAATTCATTCTGTCTGCATTGTATTTCCTGTGGAAGCTTTCATAAGAATTTTGCTTAGAATAATAATATGACTCGTTTATTAACTGCACTGAGGATTATCTGTAAAGAGATGTCATTAAAGGCTTTTGAGCAATACAGTTAAAGTTAAATCAACTAAAAAGATTTTTAAAAAAAAACAAAAACAAATGATGGAGTATGATTGCTCTGTGTGTGTTTGTGTGTGTTTGTGTGTGTATCTGCCTATCTGTCTTTGAGTTAATGTTGACACCTGGCATCCACCTGAATTAGTCCTTGCAGGTCTCTTGGCAAGATTTGGATGTTTGCCATTGCCTCTTTCCTAGGGCAATGAGAATGACTGGCTCAAGATTACCCAGTTAGGTTCATACCTAAATCAGAAGTTATAATTTCCTGGCTCTAATCTGTTGCCTTAATCACTACACCAGACTAGCTCTTCGGTATATGTTTTCAAATTTTTTATAGTTATAAACCAGCATTTTTAATTTTTCTCAATTTTACTGAAAATAGGAAATACACTCCCAAATGTTAAGTCATTAGATTTCAATTAGTCAAATGTTTAGTTTGGTTTTAGTCATATACTAATTTCTAATGTCTATTCTTTTCAACATATGAAAGTGAATCAGAATGCTTTACTGTTTGATAACTGATCAATGAGGGTTTTTTTAAAAATAAAAAAAATTAAAAAAGTTAAGTAGTTTCCAGGCTCCCTCAGCTGCTTATGTTGTAAGCTTATCTCTGAATACATCCTCCTAAGCTCACCAACTGTATGAACATAACATTATCAAAACTTACTGGATGATGAGGTCGTAAATGGAAAGTATGAGGCGATACTACAGCTACAGCAAAGAAACGAAGGAACACAAAGCTGCTCACTGCAGAGTACTGTACATGAGGGTCATCTGCAGAGAAAAACCATGAAATGTACAACTTAGCAGGAAATGGGTGAAATAAGATTGTGAAAAACCTTAGTAGGGTGTCAGTAGAAACAAAATGGTTACTATTCTTCTGCAAAATAGAGAAGTAGCAAGTAGTGTGAAATGAAAGTGAAGTTATGATGAAAGATGCATAGCCCTGTGTCATTGGGCATGTATCAGAATTGTTACAGTTTATTTGATGTTACCTGCTTATTATAGTAAACTAAGGATTATGCCCCTTCCTCTTCTCTGTCACAGGTGTGAATGAAATTGCAGGTTTCCAGTTCTGCATTTACTTAATAGTAGACTCTATTGTTATGATTAATCTTAACTATGCAAAGGAAGATACTTCCAAAGATATATTTTTTAATTTGATACGTTTCCATAAAACACAGTTAATATTAACGAAAATATATAGTGCAATCAGTTTCCTGCCTGTTTCCTCTTACTTTAGAAGTAAAGGTAGAGATGAATTTAGGCATCCAAGGTTGGTGCATGCAATACTCACCTATGAAATATATTTTCTATGACTGTGTTACTTTCTATACGGAGGAAATGTAAATTATTTTTCTGTAAAATAGCAGGAAGAGGCAACTTATTAAGAAATTTTAATTTACAACTCCTCAGCCTCAGTCTGCATATCCAGCGATTGATTATTATAGTAGTCCAAAGCCACTGCTTCCTATCCCTTTAGTACAGTATTGCTGTGGAGCATAAGTATGATTGCTTGCTGTTAACAGCAGTATATCAACACAAGGCAGGCAGTGTCTATGACTGGTATATTAATAATTTGTATTTCCCTCTTTTTGTAAATGCTATAGAACTGATTTTTGGTAACATTCTCATGGACATCGACTCTTTATTCAAGCCATAGATCATATAGTCATTTTGAGACATTGATACACTTACTAGGAAATCTTTCAGCAGCCAAGCGCCTCAGAGAACACAAGACATCACACATTAAAGTTGGGCAACTTATGCTTGATTGTACAATTGTACTGAAAACTTTGTCAACATAATTACGAAGATTTTCCTGTGCAGACAAATAATTTCAGAAAGTTAATTTTTTTTATTTTAAGTGTTTACCAAGTTCATTTTATCAATGAGATAAATCTCTTCAACAAAATCTGTACGTATAGTTACCATCCTAGCATTTAGTGGCAGTTTAAAGAATAAAAGGCATACTAATAGTCTAAAAAGGCCCTCCAAAAGCTCTTTCTCTTTCCCATCACTTTATATGATGTCATTCTGTCCTTGGTGGTGACCGGGGCAAAATTCTGTGATGCCATCTGGGATTCCTCCTGGTTTGTGACCTTAAAGGAAGTTAAGACATCCTATGCTATTGTCTGCCATCTGAATCAGGGAAATTGTCAACAGCTCTTTATAGGGAGGGAATTCCTTGAAGTCTTGCTAAGTACTGTGGGGTGCTCCCTTCTGAAAAGGCTGGTCCTGGAATCAGAGGTCTTGGCCAACTACCATCTGGTTTCCAACACTTCCTCATTGTTGTTGAGACAATGGTGTTCGACCAGTTTCATAGAGCCCTGGATGAAACAATTATCTGGACTCTTTTCAGTTAGGATTCAGGCCTGGACAAGGGAGAGAAAGGACATTGGTTCTCCTATTGGATGATCTGGTTTAGGACTCTAAAGAGGGATAGTGCATCTTTCCTGGTTGTATCAGACCTTCTGTTGGATTTAGTATTACCAACCATGGAATCTTACTGCCTATGGGGGTTGAGAACTGGAGGCATTGTTTTGCAACAGTTCCACTCCTTCCTCAGTTGTTAGTTCCAGTCAGAGGTGGCACGAGCTTGACCTGATAGCCTGTGATATGTGAAATGTTACAGGAGTTGTTCCTCTCTGCCTTGCTTTTTAACATTTACATGAAGTCAATAATGAGGTCATCTAATGGCCCAGTTGTATAATCAATATGCTGATGAGACCAACTTTACATTGCCATCTTGAAGTATAGGGGGGAGATGCTGCTGATATTCTCTCTTGGTTTCTGAAGACTATTAAATATCTGAACTGGAGAAAACAGAGTGAATCTGAGCCCAAGTAAGATAAGAGTTACTGTTTGTACAAGAATCTTCTGTTCACACCAGTATAGGTAGGTATTGCCCACACGAAGGAAGGTTTGCAATGGGGGAAAAGGGCTTCTAAACCCATAGATCCTTCTAAAGCATAGTTAGAGGCTACTGTCCATCTGTGGCTGGTGTGCCAACTGCAACTTGACCTTGTGTAGAAAAACCTTTTATGGTAACTCATGCCCTCATTTTCATGTGTATAGATTATTGCAATGAATGTCACATGAGGCTGCCCTTGTAGACTAGTTGGAAGCTGCACTGGCCCAAAATGTGGTGGCCTGCATAAACATCAGTTGTTGGTGATGGACCCTAATGTTTCAATTTCATAGGCTCTGCATTGGCTGCTGATAGGTTTTAAGGTACAATTTAAGGTACTGGTGTGGAATATGATGATACGGTTTGATTTAAATTGTGTCAAGTATATATCAAATATTCTATTTTATTCTACAGTTGTTTTTAATTATACCCATTAATTACAGTGAGGTTGACACAATGAAGCTGAAGTCCAGAAATGCAGTAGGCAAAATCATAAGAGAAAGAAAAGATGTTCAGATTCTTAATATACTTTATTACAAAAATTATTATGGACTTTTACATTCCAGAAAATGCTTGGTTGACAAAAGTTCCATAAATATAAATTTTTTTAAAAGAGCCATACAACATTTTAGCATACCTTGTGCATTTCCACATTATCTCCTTCTTTCAGTTTCAGGGGATCAATTTCACAGGGTTTAGGATTTTCACATATCTAAAACAAGATTAAAATTTGCAGCACAATTATACACCAATCTACTCAGACATGAATTCAGTGACATTTGTTCTTAAATTAAAATAATGGAAGTTTTATCAATTATAAAATGATAATAATATGATAACTATGTTGTCTCAACAATTTGTGTGGAAAATTTTACCTATGCAGTAAATGCAAAGTTGGCCATTTGAAGCATTACAGTTATAGGAAAAAATCTGCTCTTTTTAAACATGTATCACCCATATGGGTAACTAGGAAACAATATACTTTCTTGTTAAAGTGATATCTGACTTGCTCTGGCTTGCAGCTAGTAATGGTAGATGATATTCAGCAGGAAAAGTTAAAATGCAGTCACAAGAATACCAGCAATCTTTGCTGAATGAGACTGAGCTGTTTTGGGAAGAGGAAGCTACACACACTATAAATGATGCTGTGTTATTTATCCCCTACAATTGTAGTTGCTACAATGAAAAAGGTAACCCTTTTTGTGACAACAAGGAGTCAGAGAAATATAAGCCAGGAACATATGGGTTGCCAAGCTGTCTTTTTATAAGTATAATCTTTATTGTCATTGTACTTAAATACAACGAAATTGGTTACTTACTTCAATCTTCCCATAAAGGCAATACAATATGGAGTACTCCAAGCCCATAATAAACATTGCATATTTTCTATTTCCATTGTGATATGCACAAACTAATGGATATAGTAATTTCCAAAAATGTTATATTTGTCCTTAATGCTCTATCCTAGGGTGTGTTTCATTGTCATTTTTTAAAATAGTTTTGAAATCTAATTCCCACTACACTTTGGAATTCTGACCACTGAAACAACATTCTTTCTATTTGCATACTGAAAATTCAATTTCAAATCTATGTCTAGTGAAGTAGATGTATGCTACTGAAAAGGGAAGATGATGGTAGATGTAAAAATATCGTACACTCAAGTTTAATATGAGGTGCTCAGCCTTTGGTAAGCTGTTCACACAATATATTAATATAAGGTGAAAATATTAAACAAATGGATTAAACAATTTGCAACCTTATATTTTGCAAAGTGATTGGACTCTTACGTAGCATATTAGATTTATCTTGCAGACTGGCATAAGAACTGGAATAGTTTATCCTTATCTCAAGAAAGCAATACAGACATTTTAGACCTGGCACAAAGCTGAAAACAACTGATATCTGTAGTAATAGCATGAAATTTTAGGTAGTAGGAATTTTTCTATTCCCAATATATAACATTTTAATGCATACATTTATCATACCTCATCTAGAATTGATTTTAAAGTAACTTTCAAGTAGTGCTTTCCCACTATTTTCATCATCTCATCTACACATCGAGTAGTTAAAGAGTTTCCTCTGAAGATTGTATTTACTTCTCTGTAATACAATTCAAATTAGAAATTCAAGACTATATGCATATACACATATCAACAAACACGCAAGCAGATACAAAATGACCAAAGCTCTCTGCTGCAGTTTTTCTAGCTCATATAGTTTATAATAATGCAAAATGTTAAAATACCTTTAATATTAAGAATATATATCTGGATACATATTATCAATAGATACCAATGTCTTCTAGGTTGCCTTAATAGTAGGTATAATCAATATTATACAAACATTTATTAAGATACAAAAGGCATAATTTAATTATTGACACCTCTTTCCAAACACTCAATCAGAATAGGCATGGTCTTCAAAAATGCACATAATGCCACCTAACTTAGTCAACTAACTACGGTATGTAGGAAGCACACCACAATAGCAGTGGGGGATTTTAACTACCCTGACATCAACTGGGAAACAAACTCTTCACCAAGTGAAAGATCCAACAGGTTCCTGACAAACCTAGCAGAAAAAAATCCCAAAAAGTAGAGAAGAGAACAAGGGGATCAGCCATATTGGACTTAATTCTCACTAACAGAGAGGAAATGATAAAAGGCGTTGAAGCCATAGGAACCCTGGGGGAAAGTGACCATGCAATATTGGAATTCAACATTATGCAAACACAAGTAGTAGAACAAAGTCAAACTACAGTCTTGGATTTTAAGAGAGCTAATTTCAGTAAACTTAGAGAGAGCTTGAGAAGAATTCCATGGATGAGAATCCTTGTTCGGAAAACAACTCAAGAAGCTTGGAAAATTTTGAAAAATTAGATTACAAAAGCTCGGTCTAGCACAATACCAATGAAGAAGAAAAATAACAGCTCCCAAAAGAAACCAGCATGGCT